TTTTATTTTTTTATTTTATTAAATCTGTGTTTTTCCTCTCCCCCATGAAGTTCTTCCCCAACGGCAACGCCTTTGCCACGGGCTCGGACGATGCCACGTGCCGGCTCTTCGACCTGCGGGCTGACCAGGAGCTGATGGTTTATTCCCACGACAACATCATCTGTGGCATCACCTCTGTAGCATTTTCCAAGAGCGGCCGCCTGCTCCTAGCTGGCTATGATGACTTCAACTGCAACGTGTGGGACACGCTGAAAGCTGACAGAGCAGGTAAGGGGTGCTGGGGGTTGGGATTTTATGGAGTTCTCACCCTTGGAGATGGCCAAGGAGCTCCTGGATGTGGCACTCAGTGCTGGGGACAAGGCACAGCTTGGACTCGATGGTGGTGTTCTCAGGGGTCCCAGGAGGAGAGGAGGTGAGAATCTTAACTCCATGTTTCAGAAGACTGGTTTATTTTATTTTATATATATATGTGTATATATGTATATATGTATATATGTGTATATATATGTATATATGTATATATGTTTATATATATGTGTATATATGTATATATGTATGTATATATATGTATATATATGTGTGTATATATATGTGTATATATGTATATATGTGTGTATATATATGTGTATATATGTGTGTATATATATGTGTATATATGTATATATGTGTATATGTGTATATATGTATATGTGTGTATATATGTATATATGTATATATGTATATATGTGTATATATGTATATATATGTATATATGTATATATATGTATATATGTATATATATGTATATATATGTATATATGTATATATGTATATATGTATATATGTGTATATATGTATATATGTATATATGTATATATGTATATATGTGTATATATGTATATATGTATGTATATGTATATATGTATGTATATATATGTATGTATATATGTGTATATATGTATGTATATGTATATATGCGTATATATGTATATATGTGTATATATGTATATATGTATGTATATGTATATATGTATGTATATATATGTATGTATATATCTGTATATATGTATATATGTATGTATATGTATATATGTGTATATATGTATATATGTGTATATATGTATATATGTATGTATGTGTATATATATGTATGTATATATGTGTATATATGTATATATGTATGTATATGTATATATGTATGTATATGTATATATGTATGTATATATATGTATGTATATATGTGTATATATGTATATATGTATGTATATGTATGTATATATATGTATATAATTTATAATTTGTGATATATATATTATATTAAAGGAAAACGATCTATTAAAACTATACTAAAAGAATAGAAGAAAAGGATTTCATCAGAAGGCTTGAAAGGAAAGGAATAATGATAAAGTCTCATAACTGTCAGAGAATCTGATACAGCCAGACTGTGATTGGCCATTAATTGGAAACAACCACATGGGACCAATCAAAGCTGCTCCTGTTGCATTCCACAGCAGCAGATAATCAATGTTCACATTTCATTTCTGAGGCCTCTCAGCTTCTCAGGAGGAAAGATCCTAGCCAAAGGATTTTCCATAAAATGTGTCCATGACATTGGTGGCCTTTTCCAGCCTCTGAATGTGTGACTGCAGTGTCAGGCACAGATCTCAGCACTCCCTCTCTCAACTTCACAACTCCTGAAAACTCCTTTGGGCTGCCCAGTGATGGTGCAAATCAGGGATGGATGCTGAGAGCAGGATGATTGCCATTAAAAACAAGGCCTTGGGGTGCAGGGATATTCTTTTTTAGACTTTATGGCTTTGTTGATGCATTAACTATTCAAAGCAATTCAACATGAATGTTGCTATTTATACACAGGAATTTTTTTCCTGGTATTTGTAGCAGTAGTTGTAGAGACAAGCAGCAAAACAACAGAGATTGTGGAGTTTGTCTTTTGAGGAAACAAACATGAAATTCATGGTCCAAAGATGAAGAGAATTTAACTTAGGGTCTTCAAAATGAAAACCTTTGATGGAAAAAATGTATAAATTTGGCTATAAATGTTTCATTACTCTGATCAGAACAGGAGATGAGAAAAATATTCTGTGTATTGAAATGTTCCAAGGCTTCAGATTGCCAGGCAGATTTGGCCCTTCTGATATTAAACACTTCTGTATTTTCTGATATTGACACTTCTATGTCAAACACCTTTGTGGTTGTGTGTTCAGTACAAGTATTTAAGATTTGTTGGTGCTGATTTTGTTTTACCAAATTGCAGCAACTTCTGATGAGAGAATGAGGAGAGTCCTGTGAGCGCTCTAATTCATGTAGAGAGATTAATTTCAAGTCTATCAAGAATATCTTGGCTCAGTGCTGTGGACTGGAAAGCTTGAACATAATTAGGTTTTCTTTTTACCTCCTTGAAACTGTTAAATTAAAGGGGATGGAGGAAAATGTTGTCTCCCTTAATTTTTCAGTTTAGTGTCTCAATTCTTTCTTTTAATGGTGCTGTAATTGAATTGTATTAGATCTCCATATTGACAAATGGATTGTATGGAGGAGTCTTGTCTTGTGAATGTAGTAGGAAAAAATTGGATGAAAAATACTTTGGAGTTCATAACATAATTCAGTTTAACTTCTGTTTTTAAAAGAAAATTTTTTGCAAATATGAAAATTTTGTAAAATTCAACTGAGACCAGTTCAGACACATTATCACTGTGGTGAGGAGCCAAAGCTGTGCAGGGCATGGTTACAGTGACATTGTCACAATCTTCAGGGCTGTCACTTCACAGCTCATGGGACACCAGTAAAGGTCACAATAGGGGAAAAACAAGGAAAATTTTGGAGTAATGTATTTATTGAATTATCCCTTGAGAGCCCACCCAGCTCTGCCCTGAGTCTGTGCTTGTAAAACCAAAGGAGTTTTACAATTCCAGCCCTGTTTGTTCAGGATTTTTGCCTCTAGAGCTTGGCTAACCCAAACGTGCTGTGCTGTAACTGGAACAGACAGGAAATGCCCTAAACAAAACAATTTATTGTTGATTTCTCATTGCCAGGTGTCCTTGCTGGTCACGATAACCGTGTCAGTTGCTTAGGTGTGACTGATGATGGCATGGCAGTGGCAACAGGGTCATGGGACAGCTTCCTCAAGATCTGGAACTGAGCAAGGTGAGCACCCAGCTCGGGCTCCACAATAACAGCAGGGCTGTTACTGGGGCTGATCATTCAG